AAAAGTCCCTAGTTTTCGAGAAAATCGAGATTTTCTATTTTTGTAGTTCCAACTTTCACCGCTAGATGGACGGCAATTTTTTGGTCCATGAAATGGCCTATTTTTCTAATTTCTTTAATAAGGGTCTTAGAGGACTGTAAAAGTACTCATTCGATTCCGTAGGCGATAAGGAACAATTTGTATATCTCAGAATTTCCGAAAAGTGCTTAGTTTTCGAGAAAATCGAGATTTTAGTTTTTCGTAGTTCCGCCGCTCACCGCTAGATGGCGCCACCTGTACCGTTTTGGACCGAATTCTACAAAAATTGATTTTCTGGCTTTATTAGGCATCAAAACGCATCAAACCCTAATAGAAATTTGTTTCTAAATGCCTCAGGAACCATACTACGTCGTCAAAGTGCCGAAATATACATTTTTTTATTTTCCTTATATGCGTGTTCGGACCCTCATTTTTTAGGTTTAGTTCACCCCGTTCGCCGTAAAGATGGCGCCACATGTTTAATTTAAAAAAAATGCAATAAAAATTAATTTTCTTGGCTTAATTAACGATAATATGTATTAAACGCGTATGAATTTAATGGGTGAATGCTTTAAGTTCATTATCCTAAATCGCAGATGGCATTATAATACTCTGTTCGTGTACGATCGGTATTTCAGTACATGGTAATTCTGCAACTCCTTTATGCTTGTCGGTATACTTCGTATGGGTTTCACCATTTACCATAAAGTGGCGCTAGCGATATTAATTTCTGTGTATGCATTAGAGCAAACAGTAAAAAGTATAAAAATTTGCATTCAATCAATTTATTCTTTTTCAATACAAATTGTGTAATATGATTGTGTAGAATGTATATCTTAAAAGATCGTGCGATAGAAAGGGATGTTAAGTTATATAAGAATCTTATAGACAAAAGTAAGGATCCATCTCCAGAAATATTAAACTCAATACAAATTATTAAACAGAAATTATTCCTTCCAATAAAATAACACACACAATTATTCTTTATCCCTAAAAAAGTCAATGTATATTTTAATAACAAGACCTTAAAATGTTATATAATTTATAAGAAACCTAATGTAAGTCAAAAGCAATTTACCCCTCAAAAGTTCTAATATCATACATAATATATTATTCGTCTAAAACCTACGTATAAAACGAAGTCATGTTCCTTATATTTCAAGTCTGTAAATCGTGCAGCGATTAAACGCGAACTATTTTTGCCCGCTACCCCAAACACTCCGCAAGATGGGACCGAAAATGACAAGGGTATATCTCATTTCCCTGATAAAAGTTAATTAAAATAGTTTGAAGAAATGAATAAACTCGCCCAGCAGCTAAAATACATAGCGGGAGAAAACGCAGTCGAGATGAAAAAGCTTCTGAAACGCGGATCGATGCTGCGCTTGGTGCGCCGTTCAGGGCGGGTTGCATACAAATAGGCGGCAACGAAATGCGTGAAATTCGAAGAAAATTTCGAAAATTACCACGCGATCCTTCGCATGACACATATGTTATTTTGTACCGTGCATATCGTTGTACAGGAATAGCCGAATCGCTCGAAAAGATTATTAATTAGTTAATCGAAGAACTTTAATAGTTGGCAGTTGCCGGGACGGGTAGAGGGAGATAGGTCGTACGTGCATTCACCCCCGTTACCGAGGGGCAAAGTCCCCGCTTCACCCCTGCCGTTATCCTTCGAGCAAAAGGTCACGTACCACCACCCTATCGATCGTTCACCTCGTCCTGGGAGTCGCTCCTGGTAGCCAGGTTAAAGTGGAAGGTGTGAAGGACCTCTTGCACTTCGGATATGAATGTGGAAAGTTCTTGAACGTGAAAAGGAAGGAACAACATTGTCCCGTCCAGGTTCCTTTATTAAATTCCATTATCAAATGCAAACTGTCGTCATTCGGACGCTAAAAATGGTGAGGTTTAAAGAGTAACTGCGGAAGCTCGCCATTTTTTTCCACGAATAAACTTCCGCTTCAAAGATTTAATTAACGTTCGTGCAATTCTATACTGTAACTGATAGGAGTCAGGACACATCGGTGACTGATGATAATTGCTATTTTATTAATGAAATTGAGATTAATCGCTTCTTTAACTAAACATACATTAAATTATTTATGCTAATATATGTAGCTACATGTAACTCAAGTGCTATGAATGTTTGTCAACAAGGATTGAATCTGTATTTAATCAGGGTTGAATAAATTATATTTGGATTAATGATGGATTATCAATATTAACAAA